AAGATTTCACAAGTAATGCCTCATGGATTTTAGAGGATGAGCCTCCAAGTTTAACTATAGATGAAGTAGAAAATTTTCGTGGTGAATTAGTTGCATGCAATATCCAACCAAACATCAACATTGGTATGTTTCATTCTTCTTGTATTGTCTTTATCACTAAAAGTATATATCTACAATCATTATTTGATACATTAATAAATAATTCCTCTTTTGGATATAATGTAGATGAAATTTTGAACTTTGAATTAGATGACGACGATGATGATCTTGAAAATGAAGGGAGTAATGGGAGTGGAGGTTTTGGGAATGCAACTACTGTTGAAACTATCAATCACGTTGGAGCTGAAAACCCCGAGTTTGGCATAAATTGGAATTCATAGAGTAGAAGTACTCGTTGGAAAAATGAGAATGAATACAGAATATACTGTGTAACTTTTATCAAATATTTGAGGAATTGTACTTTTATTTTGCATGGCCATTGTGATATTGTGTTTTAGATTTGCAACTTAGGTTTACTTATCATTTGGAGATGATGTGTTCTTATATAAACTTTTAACTTGATTAGGGATTGTGATTTGGAGTTTGGACTTGGAATGATTTTTCTATTATGTACTTGAATTAGAGCTTTAAAGTTTAACTTTAATATTTGGCAACTTAATTAATTTTATGACAAATTGTATACATTTTAGACATATTTTATATTTTTTAGCTTAATTATTATGTTTTATAATTATTATATATATATATATTTTTTTTATTATATGGCCGGTCCGACCAGTGAACCATTGACCCAGTCTCCTAGCCAGTTCAATGACCGGTCCAGTTCTAATAACATTACTTGTATAGTTACAAAAAGGACACACCGGACACTTGAGAATGACTCAATTAATTTATGATTGAGGTTACTAAGATTAATAATGTACAAGTGCCTTGATAGCTGCACTCATTGTCATTGTCCATATATTTTGATACAACAATTAAATTTACCTACCACAATCCTATCCTACCCACAGTACATAATAATATGCTTCAGACATTATGCCATGGAATAAAAATAAATAACACGAGACGAATTTTTTACTTTGAACTCTCACAGTAGGCATGTCTCATTTCGATGAGACCCAATTTCGGGATCTACGCCACAACGGCTTTCGTCTACAAGAGCCAAAGTTAACATTTCTGTGCAGAACTGATCATCTGCTTTCAGCCATAGAGCCTGATAGGAAGACAAAACAGACAATGAGGGCAATACGCAAACAATGTCAGAAAATAGAACAGTCTTAAGTTTCGGTATCTTTTAATTTAGAAAATAAGAAATCTAAATAAAATACTTGGCACATTAATTCGGGGGAAAAAACTTTTCCCAGAAATTTAAAAGGTAGTCAATTCTTTTTTTGGCAAGTAATACTTCAGGAATTTTGACTGAAGTATACCTTGTGGTAGTATGTAATTGCTGCGGCAAAATTATCCTGCACACAAGGTTGAAGTGAAACCATCAGGAACTTTGGTCACAAGGGACAAATAAGAGGATCAAATCAAACTCAAGCAAAACAAAAGATGTGTTTAGCAAAGGTTCATACTCTAGCAAGAACAAGAATGCCTCAAGTTGGTTGTTTATGACACAAAACCCTTTGATTTTGCAATAATTTAAAGCATTACCACTCCTTTTGCAATTGGGAAAATATCACTTATGGAACTACTGTGGCACTTCTAGAAATGGAGCTAATACCCCTTTTTTGTAATATCATATGAGATTCCTGCACAAACAGTTCTCTTTTCTAGCATCTAGAAGCTAAACTGTTGAAGATAAAATTCCATTTGTAGTAAGATCAACCCAATCAATTTTAAAATATTGTTTTCTACCAATAGCTATTATTGTGGTATTTGGTGGTATCTTCACCCTATATATAAGATGCAATCACGTGCATTAAATACTAAGAATTGATGATAAATATGTAATTCACATGTACATTTGGTCCACGTAGATCTTCGTATTTATGTTCTTTTCTCATTTCCTATTTTCATCTTTCCCAAATTAATTTTTATCATGGTATCAAAGCTGGTCGATAGACCTTGCTTGATTTCACTTCCTCTTCATATCTGCACAATGCTCCTTCTGTGTTTAAAGTAATTGCACAATATTAACTCCCTGCACATTTTTTCTACGTATGCACTATTTTTTGCACGACGTTAATTTCGTGCATCTCATCTCCGCATCAAGTTCATTCCATGTGGTAATGATAGTCCATCTGCGCACATTTTCACCCATTTTGTAATTAAGAAGAAATTTTATCAAGATAGCGGCAATCACCACAAATTTCACATGATGCATCATTTCATAAATTCAGCCGTTGTATTCTCAACTACTTCCACGAAGTCGCAGTTTTGATGTAGGGCATCAGGCTGAACCAGTATATCTGTGCTTTTTTTCTCCCATTCCCAATTTTTTATCTTTTCCAATTCAAAACTGATTAGGAACCAACTTATTGCTCATTCTTTCATTCAACAAGACTAACCCTTCATAACCCTAGCAACATGCCTTGCACACACCCTCCACTATACCAGCTTCAGTTTATATTGACAATTTCTCACTTCAGTCACTTCAAGTTATGGGAATGTTAAGACCAAGTTGGGCCATGAATTACACTCGTGAATGTTTTTCAAGTTGTTCAAATTCTTGGTTTGGATTGGATTGAAGAATTCTACCCTATTTGTTTGGAAATCTTAGCCTATCCCTCTGTCTTTCACAAGGGGATATGCACAATATGCATGTTTATGTATTACATTTTATTGTCAGAATCACATGTGGTTATTTCCCTCTATCTTGTGGCATTATCTTTATGCACGAGAAGTTCTCCCATGGGCTGCAATGTGACGGCAGTATTTGAAGATGAGAAACCAAACTTTACTAAAAATCCTTTACTTTTTTTATGCAATAGAATAGATTCAGACAACCCAACCCCAAGCTCATGCCTACAAATGCACTCGGGTTGAGCTTGGATTGATTAGATAAAGTAGTACATAAAGATGGGTTGGGCTTGGGCAGAGGTTGAAATAGCTAGGGTTGAGGTAGGGACCCTGAGTAACCTTCCCTCGTTGCAGTGCTACTTCAGCTTCCAGCTCAAGACAGCTAGAGTTTCAGTTTTCTTGATCGAGTATGGCCATCCTAAGTCTCACTAGTGTAGGAAGTTCAAAATCTGGCTTTATGTAACACCTCAGCAAGCCGCCATGATGACAGAAAAATGGAACAATTGATATCTTCTTTTCTTTTCCATTAGAAAGAAAAAAACTTTATCATTCATCAAGCACACTATGGCAGAAGTGATCTTGTTAAGCTCATTGGTTATAAACCCAGGAAAGATTTTCAGAGCTATGCCATCGATCTCAATAATGCACCCTCAATAACATTTGCAAGATCACATTAAAGGCCATTCATTTTTTTTTCAATCTGAGGCCAGCTGATCTAAAAGAGCTAAATTTTCATTAGGAGAGTACCTGCAAGTGGTAAGTGTACGCAAGACCTGCATATGTGCTCACACTTCGGGTAGATAATGCAAGCGCTTTCTCATAGTATGTAATTGCCTCATTGTACCTCCTGTCACAAAGGTATACAAAGTCAGAATCTGTAAAACATGTAGCTTCCATTCAAGGTCTACGATAGGTAGTCAAATCAAACTCTGTCAAATCTCTAGAAATCCTAAAATTTGTTAGGTTTTTCATCCAAGTACTGACTACAAANTGTCAGAATCGGTAAAACATGTAGCTTCCATTCAAGGTCTACGATAGGTAGTCAAATCAAACTCTGCCAAATCTCTAGAAATCCTAAAATTTGTTAGGTTTTTCATCCAAGTACTGACTACAAATTTTTTCCATAGATATTCTAATTTCGTAAAATCTCACATGTAGTTTGTATGATGGCAAACTATACGTACAGATGCTCTAATGTTCTTCAGTACATCAGTAGCATCTCCGCATAAGAACATTGCAATCCAGTTACAGATATCCAAATCCAATTTTGAACACTTAACATTCAAAACTACAGAAAAAATAATTAGCATTCACCATTAATATCCTTGGATCATTAAAAGGCAATAAACCAACATAACTAATGGGAAACATATTGAACATACCTTAACTTTCTTAATGCATGAGCGAGATTAATAACTGTTGGTTCCCACATTTCATTTGAAGAGGATGGAATGTGAGCCAAAGTCTTCTCAAACCACCACACAGCATTTTTGTATCTGAAAGAGTTTGAGAAGATATATTTATTGTGATCAATATAGCTTCATTACAAGAATAAGAAGTTGTACAGGTATAGTTGGATTTCTAAACAATTGTCCAAAATGTTGTTCCAAATTGAATAAGAGGTTTGCGCCAACTGCTAACTACATGCAACAAAATCATGAATCACTATATAGTATATACTAGCAAATACCAATAGTAAACTGTAGTGCAGAGAAGCACAAGCAGCACAATTTGGAGACACTGCAGTAGTAAACATCTCTTCTTTTTTATTCTTTTAATTTTGTTTTCCTTTCTAGGAAGTAAAAGGTTTCAATCTGTTGAGTTCAACTCAATCAAATTTAAAGGAGATTTTACAGAGGGCTATTGATCAACAAAAGAGAACAGCATGCAGTTACTGCCATCAGCATCTACCTCGGCAACCAAAACCCCAAACTATGAAATCTAGCTATGGCAACAATAATTGGTCTTTCTTGTATCCACTCAGAAAAGCTATTGCAGAACATTTGATTCTATTTGGACCAACTTTTTGGGTTTTGAATGAAGCAACTTTTAGAAAAAAGTTTTGAACTGGAGACTTGGAAATTCAAAATTTGCACGGTGTGGGACAATCTTGTTACAGTTTCTTCATTAACTACCGAATCTTTAAACTTCGTTAACTAGGTAAAACTTCTTTGATGTGGAACAACATTCAGATGGTCCATGGCTTCATTTTTTGATTCCCTGCAGAGTATGTAAAAAAGCACTACTTCACACAGCAAAACATGAATTGGTTACCTAGATAGTTCAATTGTTCCAAACATTAAGAAAGATTACATAAAAATTAAGTGTAAGAACAAAAATCTTACAATGACCTCTTTACATAAATCCTGATTCACCATTTTGCTTTATCCAGGACCATATTTTTTAATCAAACCACAAGATATCATGTCCTTCTTTGCTATATCAGTCAATGTTAGTTTTCATCTCTCTCTACAGTTTACCCTTAGTGTCACAGTAAACAAGTATTACATTATTCCTCACAAAAGATATAGTTACAGGTCTTCTTTGAACACATATAGACCATCTTAGTCAACTCTCTTAATTTATTTCGTAGTGATGCTGCTGCTACCATTTCACAGCATCTCAGTAATTGCATTTCAATGGGGAAAAAAGGTTTTGAACATGTAATTTCTTAGTTGCCAAACACTACACAAGTCTATTTCAACATTCGCATTTTGATTACACTTTGCTTTTGAACACGTTACCTCTAAAGTGCCCAACACTACGTACCATATAGCATGGCAGTCTCATGGTCTTTTTTCAGTAGTTCTTTTCAGCTTTAAAGAAATATGTCAACTACATATAATTCGGCAATTATAAAATCCTGGCTTTTAAGTCAATGCTTCTAATGATTATCACCCCCACCCCCAACCCCAATACACAATAAAACCCCAAAGAGCAAGAAAAACATAATATTTCATGAGCAACATGATTCCTTACTCCTTCATATGATAAGCAACCACTCCAAGTTCATTGTATACAAGTGGATCTGAAGGGCATATTGTCTTCGCCTGCATGAAAAACTAAAGACGGAATCCTATCAGAACACTTGAGACAGGAAAAGATTCTCACAATTTTAACTTTTCTGTAAGGAACATCATTTATCCACATTTGATGAAAATACATGCTTTCACAAACAAATTTGCAAACACATATCCAACATCAACAATCCTTTTATGATATCTATCAGTGCATGCTTACTGCAATTAAAAAAGAGGAGTGCGCTAGCCAACCAAACATCAAAGGCTCCACCAGTTCATCCCATTTTTTGATTATCAGTAAATTTCAAGGCCCAAAAATAGTTAATAATATTTTGTAACAGAAAGGCTTTGCTACTTTTGAGTAAACTGGCATAAGGTGAAACAACAGTCTCAGTCAAAGAGACCCTTGCAGTAACACTCAAATTTACTAACTCTTAACCTGGAAAGTTATCAAAATGTCAGGCACCATTGTAAGCACTCGCACCAATGTTAGCAGATCAAATTATTTTGAGGTGGNATGTGGAACAACATTCAGATGGTCCATGGCTTCATTTTTTGATTCCCTGCAGAGTATGTAAAAAAGTACTACTTCACACTGCAAAACATGAATTGGTTACCTAGATAGTTCAATTGTTCCAAACATTAAGAAAGATTACATAAAAATTAAGTGTAAGAACAAAAATCTTACAATGACCTCTTTACATAAATCCTGATTCACCATTTTGCTTTATCCAGGACCATATTTTTTAATCAAACCACAAGATATCATGTCCTTCTTTGCTATATCAGTCAATGTTAGTTTTCATCTCTCTCTACAGTTTACCCTTAGTGTCACAGTAAACAAGTATTACATTATTCCTCACAAAAGATATAGTTACAGATCTTCTTTGAACACATATAGACCATCTTAGTCAACTCTCTTAATTTATTTCTTAGTGATGCTGCTGCTACCATTTCACAGCATCTCAGTAATTGCATTTCAATGGGGAAAAAAGGTTTTGAACATGTAATTTCTTAGTNGTCTTCTTTGAACACATATAGACCATCTTAGTCAACTCTCTTAATTTATTTCGTAGTGATGCTGCTGCTACCATTTCACAGCATCTCAGTAATTGCATTTCAATGGGGAAAAAAGGTTTTGAACATGTAATTTCTTAGTTGCCAAACACTACACAAGTCTATTTCAACATTCGCATTTTGATTACACTTTGCTTTTGAACACGTTACCTCTAAAGTGCCCAACACTACGTACCATATAGCATGGCAGTCTCATGGTCTTTTTTCAGTAGTTCTTTTCAGCTTTAAAGAAATATGTCAACTACATATAATTCGGCAATTATAAAATCCTGGCTTTTAAGTCAATGCTTCTAATGATTATCACCCCCACCCCCAACCCCAATACACAATAAAACCCCAAAGAGCAAGAAAAACATAATATTTCATGAGCAACATGATTCCTTACTCCTTCATATGATAAGCAACCACTCCAAGTTCATTGTATACAAGTGGATCTGAAGGGCATATTGTCTTCGCCTGCATGAAAAACTAAAGACGGAATCCTATCAGAACACTTGAGACAGGAAAAGATTCTCACAATTTTAACTTTTCTGTAAGGAACATCATTTATCCACATTTGATGAAAATACATGCTTTCACAAACAAATTTGCAAACACATATCCAACATCAACAATCCTTTTATGATATCTATCAGTGCATGCTTACTGCAATTAAAAAAGAGGAGTGTGCTAGCCAACCAAACATCAAAGGCTCCACCAGTTCATCCCATTTTTTGATTATCAGTAAATTTCAAAGCCCAAAAATAGTTAATAATATTTTGTAACAGAAAGGCTTCGCTACTTTTGAGTAAACTGGCATAAGGTGAAACACCAGTCTCAGTCAAAGAGACCCTTGCAGTAACACTCAAATTTACTAACTCTTAACCTGGAAAGTTATCAAAATGTCAGGCACCATTGTAAGCACTCGCACCAATGTTAGCAGATCAAATTATTTTGAGGTGGACTCCTGTTGTTCAACTCTAAGCTAAAACGAAAAAATTTTGACTGCGGACCAAATTTATTCATCTAGAGAATCACAAATATGGGACTTATTTGGAACTTGTGGTACTATGACACAAACATAAAGGTATATGCACTGAAACTTTGTTCGTAAGCTCCTGAAGAAACTGAGTGAAGAGTGGATAAGGAGAGTGACAAAAATTGATGATGAGTAGGATCATGCTAAAGATAGAGTGACAATTTGAGTGCATTCTATTTTTCTTGTTTGTCTTCTACAAAAAATACGAAAAAAATTGTCTCCTTTAGGAAGTGTAAATTATTTGTAATGCCACTTCTTGAGGTGAAATATAGTGACATGNGCCTCAAAGGCTGCCAGTATTTCTTGTTTTCTATGGGATGGGGGTGTTGGTGGTTAACACCTGTGTATATCCAGCCTATATTCTAATCCACACAGATGAACACAATAACCCATAAACCACATGAATAGGATAGACAGAGAAAAAACTGAACCTGAAGTGGTTGCTTGGTAAGCTACTGTCTAGGCCATCCCATCCACCATTGCATGTTAACTAAAAGACTACTCCCTAGACAACTACTCAAGGCCAACATTCTTAGGCTAATAAACATCCAACTCCTAAGACGGAAGTAAAACAACTGAAGAAACATAACGGCTTCGCAGGACTTGTGCAAGAAAGAATGGTAAACCAGCCAGAATAACAGAAACATAAGGAGATCAAAAATGGAACAACACAGTAGTTTCTACTTTCTAAACATCCTTCTTCCAATCAAAAGACACTTATTTTCCACTATGTATTATGTGTAGACGGACAGCTACTTGTGCCCAAAGACAAAGCAGTTGACGTTCAACTAAAGAATGTATGCTTCAGGAGAAGATACATGTCCCTCCAAATCCACCATGGAAGGACCGAAGTGAAACAAAGGCGGAAAAGATGGACCATCTCTATAGCAACCTTACATAAGTGAAACCGATTAAACAAGGCCCAACTTGTAGTGCATATCCATAACATGTTTCACAATAAAGGACGTTCAATACTGCCCCTCCAACAAAAATATGTGTGAGTGTGCAATAGTATGTTCTGAAATAGGTAGATGATTGGAAAGTAAGAAA